TCTATCTCTGCTTTTCTGCAATTATCTATGCCGTCACTTCTTGCCGGTTTATATATACAAAAATAGAGGGCGTGTAGAAAAGACTAGAGTTGCCAAGAACAGGCATGGTCGTTTTAGAATCTCATGACGTGTTACTAGCGTCACGTGACTTCCGCTGTCGAAACAGTATGGAAGATGACTAGGCAGAAAGTAAGAAACTGACGGAAGTATTGTGGGTAATAAGGCATGTGAATGAGTAAAAGTAATTTTAGCTATAGGAGTTCGGGTTCTTGTTAAGAAAAATGCGATTTTTATTGTTTAAGATACTTTCTTTGATAAAAAAGGATTAAGTACAATCCAAAATGTTTGTGGAAATAAACGTTATTAGTAGTATCAGTCGTTTTTACTTCTTTTTAAACTACACTTCCTTCTCGATGAATAAATCTCCATACCTTTATTTATTTAAAATAAAATATTGTTTTTAGCGCAAAAATACACAATGTGCTAACTACTCTCTGTTTCACTGCATAAAATTGAACCCAGAATTTTACGTTGATTGTCAGTAAACTTACCTTACTTATGATCCACCAGGAGTCTGAAATATAGGAAACTCACTGGAATTATTTTCACGAAGAATGAAAAGTCTGGAAAATATTATTTTCATTGATATTATTCTAAGTCAATTACAGTATTATTCTCTTATAGCTTTTTTATTTTATTTTACGACATCAATAGTTGCGAATATGAAAATTATGTTTAAAAGAAATTTATTTATTTTGATTTACTTTTTTACTTCAGTTGTTTAATAGCGTACTTATTTCATTTTCTTGAAAGTAATTGGTAGAAATTCGCCACATGGCGTCTAATGTAGCCAATAAGACGTTTCGTTTCAAGTAGAAGTTGAACACTGGAGTATTTTACTCGCGCATGTCTTTTAATATTATTATTACTGATGTGTACGTTGTTAATGTGTTAGTTGTCGTGGACGTGGCTGTAGTGGAAGACGTGGAACTTCATTTAGTAAGTGAAGTAGGTGTTATTAAAATTCGTTTTATAGTTTAGTTTGATTTTGTGCATTGCTCTTCATGAAATCGATTTTTTTATCTTCTTTATACAGGACTCTTTCCCCCTCTCCTAAAAAGAGAAACTGGAGACGGGTGCCCCAAAAGTTTCGCAGGACCGACCTTACTGTTCACAGTACGGTAAGCAGTTAATACAATTACAGTACTGTGTTTGTTAGGTGTTCTTATCTTTTTTATTAAGTTGTAATGCGTCGTAGAATGTATATGATGTAAAATTTGACACGTAAGCAAACTGGACATACTGATATTTTAGGGCTGATTCTAATTATGTTTAAGTTTCAATGTCACATTTTGTTGTTTTTTGTTTTTTTTTCATTTGCATATTTTCGTAGTGTGTTTAGCCGATATTTTACAAATATGTATTAGTTAAGAAAGAAATCTAGAAGTGGATTTAAAATTTTGATGAAGCCTAGGCTAGCCTAAGATATGATTGCTAAGACTAGTACTAGTACTGTAGTTTGTAGTAGTAGTAGTACTGCCCGTTGTAGTACTTTTACTATTAGTACTAGTAGTAGTACTACTACAAGCATTTGATTTTGAGTAAGACGAGGAAGAAATCTTATTTAATAATAGTAATAATTTTGTTGGATTGTTTGAATCTTATATAATATAGAAATACTTAAACTAAGCATTAAAGTTATTTTTATTTTAGGTCAATGCAAAACATTATGATGTTCATTGTAATATAATTTGTAAAATATTTGGTAGTATCATGTACTGATATAGAGTATAATATATTGTTGCGTCAGCGAGGTCACGTGACTAGTATCACGCCACTTCCTTCTCGAACCTTCGTGAATTGTCGGGAGATTACTAGATTGGGGGTAGTCTGGTATATACAAAATGGTCACAACGTGACGGGACAATGTGTAGGTAATGAGTAATTGAACTGCAGTCAGAGTGTGTGTAATTGAATGAGTATTGTTAAAGTTGAGCACTTGAGACGTTTGTTGTTATAGTGTTTGTTATAGCGCGACTGTTGAAATTAAGTGTATTGTAAAGTTGTAATTGGAAAGAATAAACCAGTTTTATTAAGAAAGGACTTGTGTCGCTAATGTTTTGTTAGAACGAAGTTACGGAAAATCAATTAATGAACGGAGACGTAACAATATTTTCAGCATTATTTAGTTTTTAATTTTATACTGGTATAACTTGTACAGCAAAGGTATCAATTCTAGTATACATTTGTATTTTGACATGTAAGTTTAAAATATGCATTTGAATATGGTATTACAAGCTTTTTAATTTTTATACATAAAGTTTTATTACTTCTTTTAATGGAAATCAATTTAAGAATTTCAGATGTAAGTTTATTCCAGTGGTGCTAATATAGTGAAAAAGTATGCACATGGTTGGGGCAAAATGTTGGCAAAACAAATGTGTGCATAAAAATATCGGTTAAAAAAAACAGTTGTAATGCCAGACACAATTCAAAGTAAGATGGAATTTTATTTTTGTAAGCATATAGAAAATTTTTAACATAAGGATGTGGTGTCAATTGATGATGCTGTGGTGAAACATTAATAAGATAACTTTACATTTTTCCTATAACAGATGGCTTAGAAAACAACTGGAATGTGCTAAGCTACAATCTATGAAAGACCTTTTGCTGCAATATATATTTGTTTTTATTAAAAGTATAGGGTTCAAATGTGTGCATTGTAATCTGGTTCCCCTCTGTAAGAAATGTGGGAGGGCCATGCCCTTTTGGTCTTGGCCTCATAATGAAGTTTGTTTTAGTTTGTTTAGTAACTCAATGAAATGGAAATTTCATTCACCAGTAGTTTAATGTTTATAAATTTGCAAGAAATATATACTAAATTGTGGAAAAAGTATTTTTTCAGCACTTTTACTCGCATTGATTTTGTCAGTTTTAATTTTAAATATTTTGGGTAACTTTTCTGTTATGATTTGCCTATAACCTGGTTTGGTAGGTATAAATTAGGTTTATTGAAATTGTATTATTATTACTATTATTTTGTAACAAAGCAAGCTGAAATGACAAGTCACTAACCAGAGTAGAAATTTGGCCAAGTATTAAATTTACCCTGAATGTTCTATTTGCCCTGAAGGATCAACATATTAAACCTGTTGTATATACTCTTGTATAATTAGGATTAAAAGGAAATCAAAGTAAACCAGTAAATATGTGTGGTTAAATGTATTTATCTGTAGGAATCTGTTTTTCTGTTTCAGGAAAAGTTATTTTGTCACATACTTTTTCATGTTAAAAATTTCTGCATTTGTATATCATTGAAGTCCTGTGTCTTGTGGTAAGAGAAAGAAATGTTTTATATTGTGTATTTAAAAAGTTAATAAGTAATACAGTTGTTTTTTATTGGGCTAAGACTTAACGATCTTTGCAACCAGATACTCTTTTACAAGAAGGAACATAAGAAAAAGCTAAACTTTGTCAAACTATCAAAATAGTACTGTTACATTCATTTTTGAAAACGTTCCATATGAAACTTGTTTTTATACAAAAAAAGAAAAATACTCAGGATCAAATTGATAGATTTTACATGGTATATCAAACTCTTACAAGAGCCTTTAGGAAAAGTGGGTTTAAGATTTTCCACTATGATTACTTACCTCCACTCACAATTAAAGCTATTCTTGAGTTGACTGCTCTCTAGTGCAGAAATTTTTGCTCCCCAATAGCCGTGAACTCTAACTACCGCTTATATACCACATGGTTCAGCTGTGTTCAAGCATGCAAATTAATATGCAACAACCCTCCGCCAATAGGAGTGTTACACCCTCCTATTGCAGCCGACTTACTCAATGCAGTTGAACTCAATTGGCACTTCTTGATTTGGCACAACAGTGTTAAGACCTTGTGCTTGATTTCAGATTTTTTTTCTTTTATGTATTTTGAAAATATTAAGTTACCGATTTTCATATTTCAAAATGTTTTTTATTCACTTACGAGTTGTATTTCTTTATTTGATTGTGAATTCTGTTTTTCACTCAATTGCCAGTAGTCGGTCAATATTTTTGACTTGCAATTTATTATTACAAATACAATGGCTACCTATGGTACTGGCATTCAACAACCCATGACAATGACTGCAGGTGTGGCATCATTGGTGGAGGAAGTGTTGGCTGTAGTTTGTCGGGAGGTGGTTTCTTTCATGAGGGCCAAGGGATCTCCTGATCTACAAGCAATTCTGCCATTGCTTGTGGTGGACATGGAGAGCTTCCCATCCCTAGACCTCATTCACCATTTTTAGACTTGATGTCACAGGTATGTTGTGTTTAATATTTGTTAACTCCTCTTTATTAACTGCAGCCCCCAGTTCTGAGTTTTTGATTTCTCTTTTTGTCTGATATTAGGGTTCATGCTGAACATTTTGCAGAAAAATTACATGCAGGGGTTAGTATGCCATGCCCCACATATACTGCAGTGACTCGTACCTAGCATATCATCATTCAGCAATACCTTTCTCGATGGATAATAGTTGTATTCATTTTTTCCCTTTGGTTCGGATGCTGATACTTCAGGGCATTTTTCTCGAGCATAATTTACTAACCTCCATTTCTCCCTCACAACACTCCTTCATTATTTGTCACCCGTTCACGTGTTGTCCTTGCACCTCCCACCTTTTCCCCTGTCCCAGTTCCTTTCTTTCCTTAAGATCCTGTTTCCTGCTAGTGTCTCACAAAAGTGGTTAAAGTCCTTCTAATTAAGGGCAACATTAGACGGGTTTCTTCTCTACTTCCATGGTTCTTTTCCCAACCTTTTGTAATTCCCAAGAAAACCGGGATTGACGTCCTGTGATTCATCTCCATCTGAATCGCTTCCTTGACATTCCTTGGTTCAACATGGTATCCCAACTGCCTCTCAGATGGAACTTTCTTCCAGGGCTTTGGATGATTAGTTTCAACATATCCAACTTGTATCTTCACATTCCTATTGCTCGGGCTTCACGTCATTTTCTACCTTTCATATACAAGGATCACATTTATCAATTCCATCATTTTATAGATGACTGGTTCCATCTTTTGCAGAGTCTTCCTTACACATACCCATCTTCTCCTCATATAAGTTGATTGGGTGGATTGGTTTAACAAGGTGAAGAAGTCCATTATCCACCCCACTCAATATCTTTATCTGGAAATGTTTTTTCAACTCTCATCTCAGTCAAGCATGTGGACCACTCCAAACACATTGATGTCTCACCACTTGCGCTATCTGGTGGTTTCCATTTCAACTGGAAATTTTCTTCCCCCTGTAGTTGTTCTCCTTATGACAGTACAACTCTGAGTGGGTATTTTTTTTTCCACAGGTCTACTTCACAAGTTATGGATCCTTCTCTGTGGCGAGTGGGGCCTTTCCAAGTTTATTGATATCCAAAACCTGCACTATGAGATCTATAAGGTCTCTCGCACTCACTATTGAGATGGGGTGTTCCAGAAGTTCTTCATCGCAGTATATTGTGCCATAAATATGTTCGTAGGGGACCGTACACTCATGGACTAACATGAGTAAAGCAGAAAAGATTATTGCCTATCTTTAATGTTCCTTAAATTGCCAGAATCTGGAACAGTCTGCTTTTCAAAATAGGTTTCATTGTCACCCATTGCACTTTCTCCAGTGGTGCATTCCTCTGGACTCTACAATGTGTTTCTTCCCCCTTCTTTTCCAATGGAGTATGGGAATCCTTACCACTCCCCAGCTCTTAGCTGCTGGAGTACTGGATTGGGAAGGAAACCTCCTGAGTGTGTGTAACTCCACTCAGTCGAGAGGGTGGTGGCATTCTGTTTGTATAGAAGGGTGACTCCTCCTGCCAAGGGTCTGGACTGGATTTTTCTGTCTATTTTGTAGTTCAACCCTCTGGCTAGGATCCCTCCCTTCTACTGCTGCCTGGATGTTTATCCCTGGGCAACTGGTTTTGGTTGGAGCTGTACCAGCCAACTTAAGTTCTCACATTTGAGTGGGCTGGAAACTTATTTCTACTGAAGACTAGTTACATCCCCAATGCCAATTGGTTTTTGACTAGAATTAATCCTCCACATTGCATTTCCCCCTTCATGATGTTGTCAAGATGTACATTCCCAGGGTTTATTGTTCCAGGTTGTGTTGAATTTGCACACATATTGGTTTAAATTCTTGAAATAGAGGATCCTCTTCCCTTGTGGTTCCTACATTTGAGGTGAATGGTTGAGGATCCTCCTCTTACTAGGGGCCAGTCAAATTCCCCCCTGGTGCCATTGGAGTGGAGTTGACCTCTTCATTATGGTCTTGTGTGCCCTAGCCACTTCACACACATTCCTCTTCCTTTTGGTTTTGGGATGGATCACTTGTTTTGTCCATTGTTTGAGACACAACACCAGTTGGCTCCACTTTGGCAAAATGTAAACCTGGATGCAATGAGTTGCAGTCTCCCAGAGGTGCTCTTGAGGTGCTTTTAAAGGCTAATCTAGGTATTTTTCTTCCAGTCCTTCCACCTGTTCATTTTAGATTTCTAGCTGTAACTGTGAGAAGTGGAAGTAATTGTATCAGAAGTTAATATTTTCCTACACTGAAAATTTATTTCCAATAGATACTTACCTCTACTTGCTCATCCCACCCATTCTCTCCACATCTGGTGTTGTTTTCCATACCTAATCTTGATGTAATGATTGAGAATGATGGAAATCAAGCTGGGATAGGAAAAGATGTTGCACTCCTTAACCATATGGCATTAATGGGAGTTCAAGGCTAGTGGCGAGCAATAACTTGCACACTAGAGTGTAGTCAAATTGAATAGCTGTAAATGTGAGTAGAGGTAAGTATATATCAGAAATATGTCTTCAGTGTAGGAAAAATGTTAACTTTAAGAATCTGATCATGAAAGTGGAGAACCTTAGTTCTCAAGAAAAAAATTCTTATGTGAACACCTTTTTTAAGGTGGTAAATCTTGATTATAATTTATTTATTTATTAGGTATTAGCAATAGACTTACTATATCTTTCAATACTGCATTCGGTATGTAGTCCTTCAGTGATTGATAAGAATTGAAACTTGTATAATAATGATTCCAACCACAATGTTCATTGTATCCATTGCCCATGACATATTTTCCTAAATCCAAAGCTAATCTGACCAGCTGGGACACAGCAAACACAGTAGTGGTTGGAACACAATTTATGTTGTTACAACAACGGCTGTTATGGCATTAATGCCTTTTTCAAGCTAGCAAAGCATGGTTAGAATTAATTTTAAAAAAAGTAAATAAATTTGATAATTTTTTTTTTTAATTAATGTTTTAGCTGTACTGTTCGACTTGGCACGTGTAATTGGCCCCAAAAATGGATGCGGTTCAACACTCAGCAGCCTTTCAAGGTGCAGGCGAAGAGATACCAGACCAGAACTTACAGAGTTTGTCTCTACAGGACAGTGAAGTCTATGTTCCTCAGACTGTTTTCAACTATGATGACCTTTTTCCAGCCCTACCAGAGAAGGAATTAATTCAGATGGCTCCTCAAGCTAGCATGGGACAATGGAATAAACAGATGAAAGTAAGAAGCTCTGTCATAACCCAGGTATTGTGGCTCTTCAGGCTTTTTAAGCATGTGTATACAGTTTTGCAAATAGCTTTGTAGAAGTTGTGATTATTCTTAGAAAACAAGAGATCTACTGCATAAACATCTATTTGGTGGGGGAAGTAAATGTAAAATGTACTGTTTTAGTGTATGAGGTGAAATAAAGGATCATTATAGAATTGTATGCACAAGAAGTGGGAAAAGTTATATACATATATTATTATTTTTAATGGATGTAATAAAAGGATTGGATAAATAGAATTCTGTTGAAAGAGATTACAAAGTAAGTTTGAAAATGTAGAACAAAAATACCCATAGGTTAAACTAAAGTATAAAGTAGAAATAGTTTTATTTGCAGTAGTGAAGTTATGGAATGAGCTAGTTTAAAGAATGGAAATTTTACATGTGGCAGCACACATTTAGAGCTGGGAAATATAATCAGTATAATCAATTACCTATAAGCAGCAACTATACCAGTTAGTATCATGTAAATTAATCATTTAATTGATATTATGATTAAATCAAGTAATCAAAATTAATGTTGATCATCCTAACTGTGTTTGAGTATTCCAACAATTGATGAATTGGAGTTTTGATTGTTGATTGTCACAAAAACAATCAACATTGCTATCATATTTGTTGTTATGGGCTATCTGTGTTCTGCCTAATTTTACCCATATGTTGTTGTTTGTCTGGTTGTATTAATATTCACCACTTAGGCTTTACTTTTACTTTGTAAAATATTCTTCCTTAGTCCAGCAATGTTTATAGCAAAAATATAAACCAAAATCTAACCAGTACAATAGATGACTCCTCTTTTTAATTTAAATTTTATAAAATTTCTTGTAAATGATTGCTTAAGCCTTACTTACTCAGTTTGCTTAATTTTACTTCTATGTTTTAGGCTATCGTTTTAATGTTTAGAACGTTCTTTATGACAATGTTTATATTAGTTACATGCATGGCATGAGTTTTGTAATATGTTGTCAAATGTAAGATAGACTCTTGTCCATGATTTAATTCTTAGAATACAAATTTTGATTTGAGTAAGTTCATTACAGAAAAGGTATGACCCATATGAAGAGTAAAGCCTAAGTTGAGCAAATAAGACAACTTTGAAAAATTCTCTATAGTTAATAATTATTTCATTTATTCATTATTGTATGTATGTCCAGTTAACATTATATAGTTCTAAAAAATGAATGAATTATTCACTTGTCTGTTACTTGTTGTAACAGTATACCATGTATAGTTTTCCAGACAACTGAGTATTGTTTTACATCTTCATAAGAGTGTTTATGACAGTGTTGGAGCCTTAAGTGTTGTATCTATAAATATGCAGTTACTCACTTTGTAACCAACCAAGGGAAACAAATAATCATAACTCATTTATTAGCCTAACACGTTCTTTGCCAAAATAAAAACCTAGTATTTTGAATATTCTTGAAGTTTTCCTCTATTAAAAGTCTAACATAAAAAAATTAAAATACAGCCTAACAAAAGAGTAAGTTAGTACTTGCTGTGCAGAATTCTGCATTAATACAATCTCTGATTACAGTTTAATCACTTTTTGAAGTAAAGTCTCTATTTTAAATGACTTGACAGGTAACATATAAATTACTTTGTACTTTCTATACAATAAATAAATGTGTAAAAACAAAAAAACAGGAATTAATAATGCAGTGTCTAAATGTATTCCAGCATGTAAAATTGCAGAAATTAAACAGGAGTAAAAACAGAAATAAAGCTATATATATATAGTACTTTGCCAAATTAATTTCTAAAGTCAATGATCTAAATACTTGCATGGAAATAGAAAAAGTATGATGACATTGTACATAATATAAATGAAACTTGCTGTTTTAGGTTCATTCTGTTTCCCCTTGATAAATATGTGATGCACACAGTTACCATGATGCATACATTACAGGTAAATTTATGAGATATCATCTGTAAGAGATGAGCCAATTGGTAATTGGAATATAATTCTGTAAATAGTTAAATGGATATAAATGTCTTATTGAAACTGGTTAATATTTGTTTTATAATTGTGAGATTAAGAAACAATTGTCAATATTAAAGAAAACTTTGACATGCTAAAAACATTTTAATGTTTGTAGATTATCATAGTTTCTACTTAATAGTTTTTACATTTGAATCTCATGCAGATAATTTAATTGTTTTAGTACTCTCTGAGAGTAGTTAATAATTTTCCTTTGTCTTTCTGACACTCATAATTTTTCATATCCTTAAACTACACACACACACACACACACACACACACACACACACACACACACACACACACACACACACACACACACACACACACACACACTACTCTACACAGTCGCGCACACTATTAGTCGTACGTACCTACTACCTACCCTACCTTACCGTTACTTACCTTACCTACGTAACGTTTAACTTT